TAGAGAATGCCCCATCCTTGGGAAGCATATTTGGTGCTAGTAGCCTGGCACTCTGTCAAGTGGTTTTTGCCTTTGAGTACAATATCCACTTTAAAAGTTTAAAACCGCCATTTACCCCCATACACTAACACTGAGGGTACATTACAGACATTGAGCAAACCTAAGTTTAGAGCTTCACAGCTGATAGGTGTTGTGGTTACAAAGGTGGTACAGGACCCCGCAGAACAGGGAGGATTCATTTCTCTAGATGCCTTCTATCCCTCTTTGGTTTTGAATCCCCCCATGGCTGCTGAATGGAGCAGTGACCTAGTAAACCTTTAGCTGCCACTTAGCAGAACAAAGTCACTGTCGCTTAAGTCTCCCTTTCCTCACCCAGGGCTCAGACACAAGAAGGGCTGTGCAGCCCTTCTCTAAAGACAAAGCATTTCTCACGTCTGTCAGTGCATTGAAAGCTCTCCCATTCACACTTATGTTAGCATTCTTATCCTGGGAAGGTTAAAGTTCACCAGTTTCCCAAGAAGTTCCTCCATGGGCTGTTTTCGGCTTAAAATTTCAGAACAATTCTTCTTTAGATGCAGCTGTTGAGCGTTTGTGCCCTTGCAGAGTGGAAGGGAATGCACTATACCCCCCCACCCGCTCCCTGCATTGAGTGTGAGTGTTATCTCATGTCTGCAACCCCCTGCCTGGGAGCCATCCAGTCCTATTGCAAAACAAGCCCTCTGTACACAATATAATTTGTCCTTTTGTACAAGATCTTCCATTGCAAATATTGATCTGACCACCACCCAATGGGAGCTTGTTTAGACGGCATCTGAGATTGAACAATCACCAAAATGCTTGGTGTGCCAGGAGAATTTTCAGCTCCTGACATCAGAGTGCATTACGAGCTCCCCATGATGAAAACTGAGGTGTGAGGTGTGACTTCTCCAGTCATACCTTCACAAAGTCATTTATTTATTCGAGGGTTTAGCCTGGGCTGTTTGGACAATCCAAGTGTGTAATCCCTCACTCAGGAAATTTCATTCAAGTTTAGGCTGGAATGTCTTCAGCTGCTGTGAGTCCATTTACCCTCAGGCAGAGGCTGCAGGAAACGCCTGAATTTCAGTCAGAGAGTTCAAGTCAAAGCACCACTGCTGCAGCTGTAGTTCATTCAGTATTACACCCATTAACACACAGGTTACTTCTCTTTATGTCTGCCTTGATTTGGTGGTTTAGTTGAATCCTGGTCAGGCCACCAAAGCTGGGATATGTGTGCTGGTTTGTTTTTTCAAATCTGTTTGACACCAGCTCATTTAGATCTGGTAAATAAAACTCCTCCTCATTTCGAAGATCCACAGATACCTTAGGATATCTGTTCCCAATTCACCCGCACCCCACAGTTGTTTTTGTACCCTCTTTATCCTCAAGGTGACGTGTGGAGCCCCTGGCTATAAATTGGTAGCTGTGTTCAAAGTCGTGTTCTGTTCACCTGGTGGGTTCAGATGATTTTGTCCTTCCCCTTAGAAATTTCAGGGACGTCAAGTCTGATTTCTACCGATTTTGCTGGGAGGTCTCAGTGATTTCTGTTAAGAGTTTTATATCTAAAAGCAAGATTTAATCTGTGCTTTCGGTCAGAATAGAACAACACAGTAACTCTGCCTCTGTGGCCAGCGTGTGGGACCAGAGCCACGTGGCACTGATAGGCTCTAACTGTGCTCTGAGCGGTGCCCCGGCAGCTTTGTGCCAGATCAGGTGTCAGCTGTCCTTCAGCAGCTGGGAGAAGGACAAGTTGAGCACTGTACCATGTGTACTGGCTAATTTGATGGAAATATGATTATCCAGCCATTCTAGGAACAGATCAAATTTGCACTCTGCGGGATCCAGGAGTGCACCAATCTGGAGATAACGGTGGCTCTGAGCTTCCCTCATCCAAAATGAGCTGGCTGCTGAAATTAGGTAATTGCTAACAAAGAACAGATTATGGCTAACAGTTTGACTAGAAGTTCTTTGCTTCCTCTGCTTTCTCTCAGTGGATGGGTCATTGTCATTTTGTTGATAACCTAGTCAATAGGCAGGACACTAATTCCTGTTCCTCTTCCAAAATCTAATTTCTCCACATAAGTGTCCTTTTCCCTACAAAACCCAGCCCATCAGCCCTTGCAGCCCCTTAGCAGCCATTTACTTTCCAGAAGCTCAGTGTGACTCAGCATCACAACTTTGTCTCCTTCCTCTTCCTGGGGAGCAAAACCCCAGCTGTTCTGTCTCCTTTACCCTCAGCTACAGTGAGCGTGCCCAACACATCACAGCTGCACTGCAGAAACGCTTGTCATGGGTACTGCCATTAATTTAGGAAGCTGGTGAAGGGTAGTGACTGCTCCTAATGCTGCTTTTAGTTTAGTTTTTTAACACTCTGCTTTCCTTTAAGGAAGGCTTGGCCGCTTGGTTGTGCCCATAACCCATGGCAGCAAGGAGACGTGGATCTTCTGGTGAAGATCAAGCTAAGGGGGTCCTCCTGCTCTCCTTGCTCACTAGCTCTGAGTGTAGTTTCCCTTTGAGGACATGGGAAGTGCTGGTAGATACGTGGCTGGCAGCCGCTCTTGCCTTCAATGCCCCAGCCCTGCAAGCTGGAGAACAAGAAAGCCAGGGAAAAGAGATGGTGTTGAGCAGCCAAGGTGGCTTTTCAGGCCTTCACAGTTTGTCATGTGCTGTGCAGAGTTGTTGCTGCTCCGCACTGAAGGCTAACAGTGACTCTCCAGTGCAGCAGTGTTTGTACAGCAGTGGTGTGGAGTCCCCTGGGCTCTCTACTCCTGCACAGCTAAGTCATGTTGCAGCAGTACTGCCAAGAGGCTGCGTCGTACCAGAAAGTGTGTGTGTTACCCACCAGTGTTCAGGGCAGATGTTTCTTCATCCCCAACCAAGCTCCTGTTAGACACCACCTGATGCCCAGCTTGTAATGCATCTCCTCTTGGCATCCACATGCTTCCACTTAAACTGCATTCAGCAACCAGTGAGGTGTGAGCTGCAACTGCGAGAAAATTACCTCTGTGTTGTGGAAGTAATCAGCTCCAGGGGGGGAAAAAACCACATAAATCCACAACAATGTGGAAGGGAGACTTGAATGCACCTCTTGAAGAAGCAAGAGGAGAAGGAATCCAAGGTAAGAGTTGCTACTGTTTGTGTCTTATGTACATGGTCTGTGACCACTCTGGCTGACGTGTGCTGGGGTTATTCACACTACAGAGCTCGAGCCAGGGTCCTGGGGCAGTGACAAACACTCCAAACCTTGAATAGTCACTGTGCTCCTGCTGTTGCTGGCTGCTCAGCTGGGAAGGGGCTGATTTCTTCCTTTTAGTTGCCTAGCTGTCAGAAATGCTGGAAGCTGGATGGCTGTACGGACCTGTGAGCTTGGCAGGAGCCCTTTCTTTGTGGTTGAGCACTGGCTCTGTTGGCTGTCCTAGAGTTGGATCTCTTGGATCTCTGTTTCTCGTCTGATACTCCTATGTTGCTACTGGCTTGTGGGCTCTTAATGCCACATGCAGCAGCTGAAATCTGTTCTGTGCAGAGATGGGCCTCACACTGCACTTGCAGACATTTCCTTATTACGTGTGGTTGTCATTGGTTAAATGTTATTTTACACAGATTTTCCTGTTCCTCTCATTAATGAACAGTAATGTGGTAAAAGAGAACAATACATGTCTGAGTGTGGTTTAAGGTACTGTTGGGCTGGACTGCCTCCTTCAATCTTTGCATTGTTGTTATGGTTAAAAGAATAATAGAACAGATTACCACTACAGTGTTTTGTATCACTCTCACAACCATATTCCTCAAATCCAAAGTCCATCTAATTATCCATATTTAATGGATAGATAATGCTTATTTCTTACAGCCCAGTCAAAATTTCTAGAGTTAACAAACTGAAGGGCTGCAGTGTCAAGTCATAAACAGCTTACTTCCTCCCTTGTAGCTTCTCTTTTTTGTCTGTCTGTACATACTAGTCACAGGCTGTAGGTAATTCACATGACAAACAAACCTTTGCCACTCTTTTGTCCTCCATGCTGCTTGGCACCTCCTTGGCAAAAAATGGTAGTCAAAATGAAAGTGGAGACTTACCTGAAGTGTTTGTCCAAAGAGAGTTTTAACCACAAATGTTGGAATTTAGTATAAGAATGCCTCCCACTCGAGAGGGCTCATTTCAGTTTCCCATCTTAGCTGAAAATTGAATGATAACTTGATTGTGTCGGTTTTGTTGCCCGAATTTTACCAAACTGGAGAGGAAATGTTAGTAAGGCAATATTATTACAGCATTAACCTACAACTGTCCTTCCTGCGTTTCCTACTGGTGGGGGTGGGTGAATGGCACCTAAAATGTGGGTGTACTGAGAGGGTGTGGGTAGTTCTTGATATCTCTGTTCTGTTTGTGACAAGTGCTGCCACACTGATAGGGCAAACAGAAGAATTTGGGGTGATAAGTAGTTACCAGGCTTTATCTGGACAAGGAGAGGATTCATGAGAAAGCATTGCTGCTGTGTTTTTTTTTCCTGAACAGTCTGCAGTCAGCATGTGGCACCCAAATGCTATGGCACCGGGTAGATTTTGAAACACCTACAGCCTCTTGCCTTTCAACAGTATTTATTTGACAGAAGAAGAGAGAGGTAGAAAGGAAAACCGTTTCCTGACCTTAACAGCAAAAATATGGAACCATTTGATGGGATAGAAACAGCAGTCACTGTTCCACTGTCAGTCTGTCAGTGATGTGGACCATGTGGTGCATGGAAGCAAAGATAATCTGTAATAGGATTTCAGGGTAATCAGGACTGGGCACTGCAGTGTCTTTGTGAGGTTGTCTGGGCCCCCAGAGAGGTGAGGAGTCCTTGCAAAATCCACGTGTCACACAGAATTGCAGGAGATGCATCTCAGTGGTTTATTTTTTCTGTTTAATTAAGGTAATCTGCAAAATTTGTTGCTTTATTACAGTTCTCTTTTGAGTGTTCAAGAAGTCAATATATTAAATCTGCCATGTTTTAAGTTTCCTCTCCTGCTGCAGCTAAGGAGTGATGCTGCAGTTTTCTGGCAGCCCCCACTGGCAGTGCCCTGGCCAAGCTGAAGGTTACTGTGCACCTTCTATCACTGCTCAATTCAGCCAAACCTGTCATTACCCCCTCAGCCTGGGCAAGCACTGCTGTTCTGACACTGCTGCCTGAATTTCCATTCCAGCTCCTCCTGTGCCTGTGAGCCTGAGCTACTGCCAGGTTCTGGGAGCCCTTCAGCACTGATGTGGATGTGCTGCATAATAACTTTGGGAAGTGAGGGAAGGACAAGTGCAAAGGACTGTAGGGAGCTAAAGAAGGGCCTGCAGCAATTGCTATTCCATTCTTGAAGGAAGACTTAGAATAAGGTACTGCAAGTGCCTCTGACCTTCACTGTGCTTCATTTAAGGAAAAATTGCATTGACCATTACAGCTTTTTTCTTTTGTTGAAATTTCTCTTTGTCTTTCCTGCTGTGTCTTAGCTAACAGTTCCTCCCTGCTCCATGCCTTTTGGGTAGCAATTTGATTAATTTTCATTGTCTTTGTTCAGTTTTAAGACCTGAAACCTTGGCAAAGAGGGTCATTCTGCCCCCAGAAACAGTTCACTCTGATTCAATCACCGACTTTTATTTCTTTTTTTTTGAAAAGGGAAGAGTGGCAGAAACCATCCATCAATCCCTTGGTAAGCACAGTGACATCCTTAAATACTGAACTAGAAAGACTGATAGAGCTGAAATCTGTGAAATACAGTGAACCTGCACAGTGCAACTTCTGGGAAGAGGGATTGTTGAAGAACAAAGTGCCTGGAAAGGAGCCAGGATGTGACTGTGCCAGCAATCCCAGAGGTGCAGAGGCTTTAGACAGCAGTAGGAGACAAAGAAGCCTGTGAGCAGGAGAGGAGAGGCTGAGCCAGGTGGAAGGGAGGATGCCCTGGTGACACTGGGCTGCAGATTGTGTGACTGGCAATCCCCTGGTGCTCAGAGGGGAATCAGAGCAGGGCAGCACTGCTGGAGGCTTGGCTTATCTGTTGTTTGTGGTGTTGGGTTTTTAAACTTGAAAATCCCAGAGAGGTGTTAGGGAAACTTTCAGCCAAGGCCTTGGGTTTATCATCTGTCCAGAATCCAGTGCAAAGCAGAGCCATGGGTAGTGTGGATTTCATTGTATTAGGAGATGGTTGTGGTGGGGAGTGCCTGAACTTTCCTTACTACAGATGTGTCTCTGTCCTTCAGGTGTCCCTCTCTAGCTGCATTCACATTCACTGATTTTCTTCTGTTCATCAGTGACCCTGATGAAGAAGTCAGTCCACTGTCAAAAATACCAGCATGACCTGTGCAGGGAGAGAAGGGGATCCGTGGCTACTGTGACCACGAGGGTGGCTCACGGGCTGGCTGGAGACAGTCCTCCATCCTGCAGAAACTGCACTTGTTCCATGACCTTCTTCCTTTAGTGCAGTGAAGGTCTGAGCAGGATTTCCCTCCCAGGTTTGCTGAGCTTTATGACACTGCTGGCAGGACAGTGTGCTGAGGGTGGGAGAACAGGGCTAAGAAAAGCAAGTCCTGATCTCTCAGGGCTGAAGATGGATTTTGCAGACAGCATAGGCCAGGAGATGCTGGAACTGGGTAGGAGCAAGGAAGAGGAGAGCACGGTCAGTTGGTTATTTCCTGACTGGTAGTTGCAAAAAACAGTATTATGGGATGCCCTTGGTCATCCCTGAAGCAGACCTCGTGTGCAGGTTGTTTTCAGTAATAGAATATTTTTAAAGTCTGAGGGCTGGAGCTTCTTTTCATCAAAGCTTTTCAAGATAAGACCCTGGCACGAAGCCTCGCTGCCCATTCCTTTCCGCTGTCCACCAGCCATCCTCGTTTTCTTCAATGACAACTACGATGTCTCCTTCACTGATGTCCAGTTCATCCATGCTCTGAAGGAGACAGGGAAAAGCAATGTGGTTAGCCTGAGAGCACAGGAGGGCCCAAGCATGTATGTGGTGGGATTTTTTTAATCCTTCCCTTCATCAGCTGTCTGCTTGGAATGAGCCTGAAATACCAGACAGTGAGGGATTAAGCATTTTGGCTATTCCCTTAAGATCTTCACATTTGCCCAGCCTCCATGGTGTCTCCTCCTGTGCAACTTGACAACACTGGGGAAGGCCACAAGGGGTTAAATACAACTGTCCTAAACCAGCTAACCATGACCTGCATAGTCTGCAGGTGTTGCTAAATAAAACAGAGCACAGCTTAATTCCCAAGGGAGATAACAGTGTCTCCGTTAATCCATGCCTTAAATAGGTCTCCCAGTTTTTTTAGCAGGGAGCAGCAGTGACCAGTGGAGGTACAGCGACTCTTCCCGACAGCAGTGACTTTCATCCCAACACAAATGCAGAGGCTGCAGGGAATCTCTCCTTGAGCTCCCAGGCAGCTATCAGCCCATGCTGGCCTATTTTCCATAGGAAACCACTTTGCTGCCTGCAGCGTAGTAAAATAGAAAACAGGGTAAGAGAGGCTTCCAGAGATGTTTGACATGTCAGCTAAAACTAAATTTAATGTACCTGAGTGGGTAAGAATGGACTCAAAAGATGAGAGGTTTCAATGTACAATATACTAAAGGTAGTAACAGGCTCTTTTCTCAGCAGGGAAAATCCGTGTGTGTCATAGTTTTTAAGGCAGCTCTCAGAGTAAGGATCTCACAAAGTGATCCAGTAGTCTCCTCAGGGGAACTGCCTTTAACAGTGAGATACTTTCAGCTGTGCTTAGATGAAATTTCAGTAAATAATAAAAGAGTGTTTAAAACATAGCAAAAAAAAAATAATCTAATAAAAGGAGGTGGAATACTGCTGTACCTAAGAGAAAGTGCTCCTTTTGAGCCCTTTCTCTGTTTTCATTATTTATCTGGCTCTCTTATTTTGTCACCTGTCAGCATTTCTTCACTGTTGGCTATTGATGGCAAGTCCCTTGGTGTGATGCTCTCTCTGCACTGTAACATAAGACCTCCTGGATGCTGTTCCTTCTGTTAATCTGAAGCTAATAAAGGGACCCTTAAACTGACAAGTAAAGCAGCAGGCTGGAGTCAGGTTCTGGAGTCCATCTGAATAAGTAAATACTCACAACTGGTCCATTCACCTTTTACTGAAGGTATCCTGTCTAGTTAGGACTGAAGTCAGAGAGAGTTCAATTCCCAGTAAAGGATGCAGGGTGCTCTTTGTAACAATCCATTGATAGAGGAACCATATTCACTGTGATTCTGCAACTTGCAACATGGGAGTGTAGGGAAAGAGTGTCATTAGCCCTCTCCAGCATGGAGAGCCAGCAGAGCAGGACAAGTAATGGCTGCAAAGTGACAATAACATCTCCTGCACAGAATTAACTCTTTCAAGATGTTTGAATCAGCATAATTTTTTTTTTTTTTAAATCTGATGCTATGAAATATTTATTTTGAAGCCTTGTTTTACCTGGGCTGTGTAGTCATAAAGTACTCTGTAGTCCTGTGATGATGTGATCCCAGCTTCTTCATTTACAAAAATGGATGCATAGACTCCATCTGTTCTCTCTGCTACGGGGGGAAAAAACGAGGAAAAAATACCCACCACAGAAACAAAGAGTTCAGTTGCTTATAAATGTGTGGGATCACATGCAAGACTTCACAAATACAAGGGTTTCTGTTCTTTCTCTGCCTGGAGATGTACATGTATAGAAAAGCTGCTGTGAACTGTAGGTAAAGTCTTGCACAAAAACTGTCCCCCATTGATTAGATGACAATACACCCACTGAACTTTGTGGGAGGTCAGAAAGTAGCTTTAGCCTCATCCAGGTTGGGAAAAATGTTTTCCCTGGTAAAAAACAGTCCAAGGAGGGCAATGCTGTGATTAAAATGGTTGCTACTGGAGGCATAAAATTCTAGCAGTCCAGTGACTCACACAGGGCTTCTCTTGTTCCCTTGAGAAAAAGGGAAAACACTCTGCCAGTGGGTCACCAGACATTTTCCAGTGGTTGATATAGTTCTCAAATAGCTATTTGTCATGGACATAACTTCTTTGCAGATGTTTTGTTTTAATCCAGCTTGCTGAAATCAGGGCAAACTCTTATTCCTTCCCAGCATCTGTCTGGGAGCTTCCCCTGCTGAGCACCAAACGCAGTAAGTGAGATAGTCTGGGCTTTGTTTTTGGGTGCCCAAGCAGGCAGGCCTGACAGAGGTTGTTGATTTTAAAGCTGTTGTTTTAAAACAACTTTTTATTTTCTTCCTGCTGTATGAATCACAGTTAAAATGGTTTTATTTACTGTCAGACCAATAAAAATGCCGTAAGCTGTTACTTTCTACGAAGTCAAAATACTGTGTTTTAAATATCATCTGATAAATTTCTAGTTGTAAGGGTTACAAGACAACAGTGTAGGTGTTAGATGAGATGGATATTTGCATTCATAAAGCATGAACCTGGTCTGTTAAAAGCTTTATGTATTCCCTCGGGCTTTTTAGAGGCAGTGTATTTCACACAAGGAGAAAACTAATATCTAAGTCAGTCTGTGCTGCTCTGAATGTACAGTCCCCCCTTGCCTAGATGGAAGTTTTGAAGATTCTGTGGATTATTTGGCACTTGAAACTGAGAAATTTGTTTAATACACATCCAAGCGAAATTCATTTCCAGACTATTTTGACTACCAACATGTGAATATCTGCTGTACAATGTCTGCCACATGTCAGAGCCTGATTTAGCAACGTGATCTAAACCAAACACATCTGGTAAACTGATTTCCTGCGGAGTCATACCAAGAGGAGGGGCTGAAGGAGTGGCAATTTCCGTGTGGTTTTTGCTGCTCCCATGCAGTAGTCCAGAGAATCTGCAGAACCAAGAGAAGCCAATGACAAAATGAGTGAACAGGCCTGGGTATGAGCATTCCTTCCTCTCAGCTCTCTGACTCAGCCTTTCCTCCATCTGCTTCACACTGAGTAGATGTCACCTCTTCCCATGGCCTTCTATTTTCATTTATGCTGTAGATATATTTATCTTCAGTTAGAAATATATTTTTTAAAGTGCAGCAGAATACTGAACAATCAGCCATCACTAAATTGTGAATAACATGCAGCAGGATAGTATTTTGTTGTGGATCCAAAGACTCATAGTGTGAAACTCCAATTATTTCATAATGTTAATACCAGGAGAATTGTCAGTTGTTTATAGGAGGTTAACATATATTTGTGTTTAAGGAAAATGATACAATTTAAAATACAGAGCTTGTATAACGAGCCTTTCTAAAAACTGTGAGTTTAAGTGAATTTTTATTTTAATCTATCCCTAGTTATTTCCTCTATCACAGCTGGGTACTGGAGACTAAGTAAAGTGAGAAAATGGGTTAGGATTCTCAAGCAGAGATGGAAATAGCATTGCATGCTTAAGGCACATTTAAACAGTATAATTTTTTCAGCTAGTGAACACTCGACGTGTCTGGAAAATGGATATCCTAACTCCACAGTTCCTGAAAAACTCAGACTGAGTCTCTCTAGGCTCCTCTCCCATGCAGAGCACAGTTGTGTTCTAAATGGCAATACAATTGTCTTACGTAACTGCATAGGATGCAACATTGAATTCATTATTATAGAAGATCTGGTTTTCAACAGAAAAACAAAGTACAGTGTGTAGCCCTGATCAGCTCCCTGACAAGCCTGCACCACATTTTAAATGGGAGATCACAGCCTGCTTCCTGTCTTTGCCATGTCATAAGGCTTGTCAGAGCATAAATCTCTTGTGCTTTATCTATGATGCCACTCTCACTGTGAATTAGCCATTTCAGTAAAAAGTATTTAAACCAATAGTTCTACCATGCTGGTGTAGCTACATCCACATTCCAACATTTACCAGCAGAAATGGATCAAAAAAAAAAAAAAAAAGCCTCCCTAATGATCACAGTTGTTATTTTTTCCCCTTGGTCGAGATGCAGAGAGCAGCTCTTTGTTCTGCTCAGCTGAGCAGTGCAGGAATCCAGGAGGGAATGCCCCAAAGGACAGCTCTGCCCAGCCTTTACTCCTGGCCAGATTCACCTTTGCCTCCCTTGAACAAGGTGGGTTTGTAGCTACATGCCCTGACTCACTGGAAAAGAGGAACCCAGTGACTGCTCTCTGCCCCTGGCCGACTAATTGTGTGATGAACTCATCCTGTGTCACTCTTCCCACTGGGCCACGGCAAAACTGCTCTGACTCCGGTTTTAATAGATTTACTTCTTCTGTCAAGTTACATTTATTGATACGTAGCTGCCTCTTGCTACAATGAAGGAAGTAATGACTTTCCAGGTGCTGTTTTCCGTCTTCATACCTCGCTGTTCATACTGAGAAATACCTGTGCTGGGAACTGAAGGTTGCCACTCACCTCTTCATCATCCCACAGGACTGGGTTGGGCTGCTGTTGCGTCTGTTGGGCTCTCTGCTGTAGTAGTTCTCATACCCTATGGCATCTGCAGGGCAAGAAAAATGAGATGTTCAAACAGGCAGAACTGTTTTCTCCCCACTGCAATGTGACCTGGGGCTGGTGGAGCAAACAGCAATCCAGTTTGCAAACCTCTCTGCCCACACCTGGAATGTGGCTGGAGCAGCTCAGGGGCACCTGGGGACTTGACAAAAGCCATTCCAGTGACTGTGAGCAGCCGTGTCCTTGCTTGGTTTGACCTGAGCTGAGCACAGTGGAGGTCCTGCAGCCCCAGTTTAAGAGCTGTGGCCAACCCGAATTCAGAAGGCAGTTTCCTCCATGGCTGTTTCTTCCGTTGTGTTAAAGCTCAAGATTTTGGGGAGCAGAGTGTGGCCATTGTGAGCCTCGGACTGTGTTCGTGATAGAATTGGCTGCAGCATGTTTTGTTTCTTTTTTTCTCAGTGAATGGAGTCAGGCATTTTTGTCAGAGCTGGGGAGATTTCGGAATGTTCCTGCCAACAGCATTAATGAGCAATTTCCTGCCCTGTGCCTGTGCTTGTGCTTGTTTCCCTACCTACCTCCCCCAGCGCCTCCTGAGAGCTGATTTGCTGTTTACCCAGAGATATTTGCGTTTTGTTCTCTCAAACACAGTTATGTTACATTTCCTTCACTCTCCCCTATGGTGTCCTTAAGGGTGAAATTGAGACCATTTCCAGCTCTAACTTTACAGATGGATTTATTTATTTTTCATCTCAGAGCTCCCAGCGTAGTTGCCTGCAGCTGGTGGCCACACACTCCGCCTGCCTGCTGAGTGTTAGAGTTGAACAAACAGGAGTGAAGTCTGGGATACTGTGTTATCTCAGACCTGATAGCAGCAAGTTAACAAAGACATTGGACTTGGGCTAAAGGTTGTGTTGACATTCTTGCACTGGGTCAGCCAAGATAATAAGCAGGGCAGGCACATAGAGCTAATGAGTTTGAAGAATCCCTACAAATCAAACTCACAGTAATTAACAAGTTTTCTGACTAATTTAAGGGTCTCCCGTTGCCCCTCTAGATTGTTACCATGGTGCAATTTCCAGTCTATAGGGTATTGTGAGATTAGGCAGAAGAAGGGACTGAGCAATAGCATCCAAGGATTGGTCAAAATGAAGCTCTTCAGCCACACAACACAAAACAACACCTGGATTTCCTCCTGCATTTTGCAAATAATAACACAGATCAACAGCTCACCGTGTGCTACTGTGCAAACTCATTAGCCAGAGCTGTGGAGATACCAGGATACTGCTTCCAGAACATGTCACCCTCTCGAAGGTGGCAAAATAAAAACAACAAAAAAGAGCAGATCAGGTTTTTCTTTGCTTTTCATACAGCTCTCAAGGGTTTTCCCCACCTATTTCTCATTTGAAATGACTTCTGACATAGCCAAGAACTGTTTGCAGAAAATTGCCTGGGCGACTGGAGAATGAGAAATCTTACACAGGAAAAAAAAAACCAAAAACAACTAGCTAAGAATTACAAATTTCTTGATGTACAGAAGTTGTTTCACACTGTTGCAAGACACAGTTCTCCCTTCTGCCACTGAAAATGTAATTTTCCCTGGGTAAATGCTCCTATACTGATGAATTTAAATCCTGTGCGTGAAGAAGAATAAACTATAGTAGCAAAATGGTATCCAGTGCAACAGTGTCAATGTTTTAGTTTAAAAAAATTCCCCAAATCTCAATTTTTAATCATCCATAAGAGTAATGTCAGAAAGGCTGAGTGAGAAACAGGCCTCAGACAGCTCGGTGCTGAGTTAGTGGCAGGATTCAGCTCTGCCGAGGAGGGTCCTGGGGTATGATTGCTCTGCAATGAAATCAGAGGGGTTTAAGCTGTTCTTGTATGACATAATTACCCCTCGGAATGGGCCTTTGTAGTGCTGATGTTTGTACCTGTGCAACTCCCAGCACGGAAGGTTTTTATCAGGATGAAAGTTTTTTGGGCCAGTGTAACTCTGGCCGGCAGGAACTAACCCCTGTGGGCAGTGCTGAGGGCTCCTGAGGGGAGTTTGTGGTGTTAGAGCAGGCACTGGAACTGAAACACTATCTGTGCACAGATCTGGCAAAAATGGAGGAGGAGATCTCTCCAGCTAGGCACATGTCATCAGCTAACAGAGAGATGGAATGGGGATTCTTCTCTCCTTTTACAACTGCTGAGTCTTTGTTTACTGCAGCAGCTGCACAGGAGTGGAGCAGTTTGTAACTATCTTGTATTTCTTTTTTAAGTACGTGGGTGTGGTGGGTGTTTGGCCCTGTGAAACACTAGATAGGCTCCTTTCCCGGGGTGTGTTTGGAGAACTCCTACCCTGGAGCAGCATGTTTTCACTTTACAATGTTACTGCCTCTTGCTGGGTCACTCTGCATCCAGCCCAGAGGTTTTGATCATTGAAGTCAAGGAAAAGGCTGCTCTGGTTTGAATGGGCAGAGTCTGTGAACCTTACAGCACTTCTCTGCAGCACTCTACAGCACTTCTGTGTGCTGGGGCAAAGCCAATTCCATTGCCCCAGCCAGAGTCTGGGCTTATTCAAACAACTTCCTGAGAGGACAAAAGTTGTTATTTCCCATTGGACACATGGAACAGACGAGAAAGTTGGGTCTTCTGTGTGCTGCAAATGAGGAGGTGACACCTCTGTCAAGGGGACACGGGGGTGCAGTTACATCATAAGTTGTCTCTGACTTGTCGCTGCTGCAGGAGACTGAAGCTCCCATCTCTGCAAAGCAATTTGCCACCTCCTTAGAGGTGTCAGTTCAGCTGTACTGTGAAATGAGCCTGGTTGCAAAGCCAAAAAGACTTTTTTTTTCTACTTTGGAGGGTTATTTTTAACCTGGATCATTCCAACATCCCACTTAGTGCCACACAGGCAGCAACGGCAGCACAGCGAGGGGGAAGTGAGCCTGGCAAGTGGGAACAAAGAGCCGGAGCAGAAACTCCTCCAGCTGGCTTCACCTCCACAGGAACTGCACTGCACAGCTCCAGCCTCAGCCTAGTGTGTAACTCATCTGGCAAGAGCAATAGGAATAATTACCTGGAGGTTGTGTTCCTGTCATTTTTGTCTTAATGAAGTAGTCTATGTCTGACTCTACAACGCAGTTCTCCAGGCTGACCCGAACCTCTTCATACTGCTACAAAACAGAATCCAAGATTCTAATTTAACTTTTAACATTTCACATTGAATTAACAATTAATGCTCTTCTAACAATTTTCCCCTTAAGAGACACTTTATATTCGGTACATGTCTGACCTGGATGATCTTTGGCCTGTCCCCCATACAAATATTCTTGTAAACAGACTTGTTCATTTGTGCTCTGGATATTCTCTTAAGAGAGGAGGACAAAAGTCCAGAGCTTTTCAATGCAATAAAGAAATTAATATCAGGAAACAACTATTCAGAGTCAAATCTAGTGTATTCTTTGTCTTCCAGTCTTGAGACCATGACTGGATGCCTTTTTGAAAGCTGTGTCAGAGCCCAAACATACTCAACAGTTGAGGTTCTACCAGGGCCGGGGTCCTGCAGCCCCATGGGCTGGGGCCAGAGTGGCTGGAGAGCAGCCAGGCAGAAAGGGACCTGGGAGTGTGGATGGACAGGAAGCTGAACAGGAGCCAGAGTGTGCCCAGGTGGCCAAGAAGGCCAATGGATCCTGGCCTGGCTCAGGAACAGTGTGGCAGCAGGAGCAGGGCAGGGATTCTTCCCCTGGACTCAGCGCTGGTGAGGCCACCCCTGGAGTGCTGTGTCCAGCTCTGGGCCCTCAGCTCAGGAAGGACATTGAGGGGCTGGAGCAGGTGCAGAGAAGAGCAACGAGGCTGGGGAAGGGACTGAAGCACAAGTCCTATGAGGAGAGGCTGAGGGAGCTGGGGCTGTTCAGCCTGGAGAAGAGGAGGCTCAGGGGAGACCTCCTCACTCTCTACAACTCCCTGACAGGAGGGGGGAGCCGGGTGGGGGTCGGGCTCTTCTCCCAGGAAGCAGCAGTAGGACAAGAGGGCACAGTCTTGAGCTGTGCCAGGGGAGGTTTAGGTTGAATATTAGGAAGAAATGTTTACAGAGAGAGTGCTCAGACACTGGAATGGGCTGCCCAGGGAGGGGGTGGATTCACCGTCCCTGGAGATGTTTAAGGTGAGACTGGATGTGGCATCAGTGCCATGGGCTGGGAACCACGGCGGGGTTGGATCAAGGGTTGGACTTGATGATCTCAGGGGTCTTTTCCAACCCGACTGATTCTGTGATTCTGTGACTGAGTGTTCTGGTAGCTGAGAGGGAGACATGTTGGTGTCACTAAGTGTGGCACAGACTGTTTGAAGGCAGACATCTATCTGGTTTATATCTAGGGAGAACAAGCTGCATTGGAAATATTCCCCTGGAGACAGCACGTGCAGAGAAGGGCAAGCCAGTGCTGTTGTTGGAGCACTCTGGCTCCTCCTCTTCCTCCTGTGCCCGTGGCTCTCCTGGGCAGTGCCCGTGGCTCTCCTTGGCAGTGCCCTACCTCATCATCCTTCACGCACTGCAGGGAGAGCTGGTTGCAGTGCACCCACAGCGAGTTCCGCAGGATGGTGATGCGGTCGCACTCCTGGAGCTGGAACACCTGCAGCCAAGGAGGAGATGTGACATGGTGACATGGTGACATAGCCCCGTGGTACTCAGTGACCTGCACTGCAGGCTGTGGTGGGTGGGGGCTGCAAACCATTCTGAAGGCTCCTATTTCAGCTACTGGAGAAACTGCATCTGCTTGTTCAGACTCAAGAATTTGTTTTAATTGATTGCACCAAAGTAAAGTTATGTTTTATAGACAAAAACAAAGCAGGGGAGAGGAATCCAGGTCTGGATTTGACTGCTACCTCTACTGCAAGGATTTCAGTCAGGGTCCTGTCTGCCTATCACACTGAAATCTTGATGTTTAACAGACCAGTAGAGTAGTGGCATGAAAGGGCTGTATTTATGTTAGAGGTAGAGCCACCTCTGCCATCGAAAATATCTTTCTAGACTTTTCTCTTTTGAAACTATTTGAGGCTCTCTGGAGTTGCCTCTTTGAATTTCTAATGTTATTTTTGTCACAAAGGGAAGGCATTTTTCTTTCTTCAGAATTTACTCCCTCCCTGCATCCGTCTAATTTTCTCGTGTTGTTGCACCTCTTGGGAAGAGTGAAGGGGGAAGAGAGAAGTGTGAACTGAGCTGGGGGAAGAGGTAGATAAATGCTTTCTTTAAAAACTTTAAAAAACAACAAAAAAACCCCAACCCCTCCCACCCTGATCTCTAAGCTTTTCTGTTAAAAGTAGAACATCAGTTTTTGATTTTCTAGGAGGTGTGAAAAGCTCAGATGCTTCCAGCCATCTGTTTCCATCTCCATTTGCTAATAATTATGTCCAGAACACCACAAACATATACGACATTCAGCAGAACATTCAGTTGGGTACACTGCCTGCCATCTAATAACTTACCAACCAAAAAAGAATCTTGTTGAGGGAGTAAGCTGGTGTGGGGACCAGTTTCTGAGAGCAAAAGCTTTTTAAAGAGAGCCTGCAGGGTGGAGAATGAGTATTTCAATATCCCTTGTGAACAGAAAGCCTGTGGCTGCAGCCAAACCCTTCAGGGCTGTGGAAACAGCACCAGAGCCAGCCGGGAATTTTCCAGGTAAATGGTGTCCTGTTGGGAAGTGCAGCTGATCAAAGAGGGAACTGTGGTGACTCTGGGCTTGTCGAGCCCTTGTCAACACCCAGCAAAGTCCAGCTGGGTGGTGTTTGACATGTCCAAAAAAAGCATCATTTTTTTCTCTGAACAAGCACTTTTAAAAGAAGGTGTTAAAGATGCCCTTCCTTTACCAATGGTTGTTTGGATTAAGCAGCGGGCAGGCCACAAGCTCTGTGGGCACATCAGGATTTAGCCATGTGAGACAAAAGAGACTGTGAGGTTTTGGAATGCTTTGCTTGTTGGCTTTTTAAGAAGGAGAAAATATTCAGCTTGGGAAAGCTAAGGCTTTGGTATAATTTCTGTGGAAGTCTCTGTGCCAGTTGTGGACTTTTCAGCCCTCCTAGATAGGGAATATTTAAGAGGAAGCAGAGAATTGGAAAGTTGTATCCTGGCATTTTATTTTACGTGGAAATAAAGCCTGCAACAAGTAAACACAGCAAAATCAGAGTTTAGCAGATGGGCAAAGGTACTTTAAGGATTACTGTGACCAAATGTGTGGCTGATTTGGATGCCAACCAGTTCCTGGAAATTGTTGTGCAAAACTTACTAGCCAGGTGCAAATCTCCTGTCCATCCTTGGCATAATGCAAACAGAGACTTTACCACCAGCACCACCTTTCATTTGAAACATTACTCCATGGCAGAGGACTAATATTCTTGCAGGTGAATATAAAGTGCTATGAAAAAGAAAGATTCTGAGTGGCTTGGGTATGTACCAGTTCACATATTGCTCCACCTCTCCCACCTCTGCACCTATTCCCCTCCTTTATATCTACATAGTTATGCTGACCAAGCAGGGGGAGTGTCAGTGAGACAGCAGCAGCTATGTCTAAATCAGCTCTAGCTTTTGCAGTAATTTTCCAAAGGCATCTACTGAGACTCCACATAAAGCAAACAGTAGAACCCTTGGGATGATGTGTCAGGTCTTGGACTGATATCTGCAAGTGGGATAAAATAAAGAGCGCGCAAACACATCGCTGTAAAAGTCAATGTTTACCTCGCAGGTTTTGATATGTTCCTGTTCCCACTCTGTCCTGACCTTATCCAGCTGCTCGATGTTCTGTTTGTACACGTTCTCTGTAAATACAGACACAAAGAAGAGAAACATAACAGTTAGGGGGAAAAAAGAGACACAGCCTTTCTCTTTTTCCTGCTGTTGGGCCTTTGCTGTGGTTCTTCGGGCCTGTGGTTTGCTTGAGTATCACAGGAATGTGTGAGCTTGAAACTGGTGGGGCAAAAGGATCTTTGGAGTTTTTTCTTTGCAACTTTATACTACAGTAAGGATTCTTCTCTGTATGGTTTGCAGATCATTTATAAACTTCACAGTAGGGATGATGCACTTCAGAGATGAAGAGCCTGGACCATGCTTGGGCACTGAGCATCCTTCCATGCCAAGCCAGCCAGTTAAGCCATGTGATTCAGTATAAACTATTCCATGAGCAGGGAGGGACAAGCCTGAACTCCTGAGCCAGCTCAGATGTGGGCTGGCCTGTCCTGGACTTCCAGTGTGTTTGTGGCTGGACAATGCTCCATGCTCATGTACATGGGGATGATAAATCTGGTTTGGGCTGGCTGGGGGCAATTTGAGTGTGCTCTGTGTTTTCAAACTTGCTTCAAGGAGAGCTTTTCTTTCCTGGGTGAAGTCCCTAAAGGAGGTCTTCTATAAATTCTTTAATGAAAGCGGGACAGTTGCATTTCCACAAAGGTTAGAGAAAGCAGATGACTGTCAGGTTGCTGTTCTTTAGAGGTTTTTTCATTAGTCTTTGGGTGAGTGACTTTGGGAACCTTGACTTCAAACAGAGACAGCCTGGGTGATCTGGATGGTGCTCTATCCAGACCCTGTGCTGGCAGATCCCTGCTGAGAAGAATCATAATATTCAGTTGCAAATAGAGCATCACCTGCTTCATTTGCTGCATCTCTGCATTGCTTGGCTTTGTTCTGACTCTGAAATAGGAAAAGAAATACCCCAAATTAATTCCTGACAATATTTTTTGCTTCAGCCCCATTTTTTTTTGCTGCCTGTTCTCTTTTCCCTTCTGGGGAAAAGGCTCTAACTTGCAAACACTTCCTGGCTCTCCTGCCTTTATGCTGGTTCTGTTGAATATGTGCCGTGGAGAAGAAGGGACCAGAATTTTCCAGGTGCAGCCATAGGCCCACTGACTTCAAGGGAAATCTTTCCATTCAGACATCCCTGCCACAGGAGCTCAGAGCCAGCATGATCCAGCCTGAAGCTGTGTCTGCTGGCTGAGTTGTTTTTTCTCAAGTGTTTGATGTGCTTTTCTAATAGATATTTATAAGCAGAAATAAATGGCAGTTAAAATTCTTCATCTTTCAAGCTCCTCATGTAATACACAGATGAAAAGAGCACAGCTTCTAAAATATTTTGCAAATGCCAGATTATTTCCCATAACACCTCAGAAACCTAAAAGCAAAATTCACTCTAAGTAGAACTTTTCTTTTTTAAAAACCTGCAGCTTTTAACAAATGAAAAGGCAGCCATTATTGACAGCTCATTACTCCCAGGTCTTCCTGCCCAGATGGTGATGGTTTCACGTTCATGCACAGCTCTAGACATCAGGGTAATACATTCTCCCACTCTGCCCTTGAAGGCAAGGCTCAGGTAGGGGTCCCTACGACCATATTCCTCCTCACAGCTGGTTGGAAAACGTGTAGTAAGCTGGCAACAGAAGCTTCATTCTTACTTGCTTCCTGCCCCAAACTGTTTGTGAATGCTGAGCAGAATTAAACAGCTTGTGAGCTGCCTGTGTGCATTCCAAACGTGCTGGCATGTGCGGGGAGGGAACAGGGAGGGGACGGCAGTGAGCACCCTGGGATCCTTCTGGGAAAGGAGCTGCATCAGGTTGAGCTGCCATTGAGGCTGCTGAGTGTTCTGGTGTAACTGCAGCAGAGCCAGGATTCCATCCCCTCTTTACAGCTTAACTGGAGGGGTTCGCTCATCAAAGATTAGTGAATGCTGGAAATAAAATGTATAGTTCTGATGCTGTTTTTAGAGTCCCCACCCACCCCACTCCTTGAGATGATTTTTGATCCTTTTTGCTTACACTGCACTGATTTTTATCGAGCCAAAGGGAGTTCATTTATTTTGTTTTCTCCATCTGTTCCTCTGTAAAATGTTCCCATTAAAAGTTAGTGAATTGTCAGCTACAAGTATCAAGATGATGCAACGAAGGACTGCGGTGCCTTAATTTCCAACGATTTATTTTTGAGTCTGTAAATTTAGCTGAAATTAAACTAACCATAAGGAGGAAGATGTTGAGGAAAAATATGCATTTTAATGTAAGATTCTCTGCCTACTAAATGTAAGAGACCAAAAAGCAAAACTAAATGCATGACATCCTTCTGACTTGTCTCTTTTTCTTTTTTTTTAATGAATAATTTCAGAGAAAATTCTCATTCAGTTTCCTTTCAGGATTCATAGAGCAATTGGATCATAGCCTGGGATAAATTAATTAGATAACTTAGTTCTTTCCCAGGGGATTCCAAGGGGTTAATTAGAAGAGAAAGCAGCCCCTGGCATCCTGCAGAACGGGTTGGTTGATTGTATTCTCTTGAAAAGGTAAACCCCACAGTTTTCTCTCTGGACAGCACAGTCATCTGAGGTACCTTTTCTGTTTGCTTTTGGTTGCCTGAAGCGCTGGTCCGTTCAAAGGACTGCTCCGCCTCGTCCGCCTCCCGGCACTTCTGCTCGTAGGTCTTCTTGGACTGGGTGGAAATGAAACCAAACGTGAGGGAACAAGGCTGGGGTGAGGGAACAAGGCTGGGCTCTCTCCAGCGTGATGTTCTAGGTAATGTCTGGTTTGCAGCCTGGGGGAGCAAATCAGTGCCCAGAAAAAACTCCCAACGATGCCATAAGGAGATAGAAAAGCAGAACCGAAAAATTGGGGTAAGGGGCTGAGAGCATAAGTTGTGTCCTTTTCTCGCAGCCCTGAAGTTGTCTGCTTTGTACAACTGCAGCTCCCTCCAGGGGTGCTCAGGAGCACACAGGCAGCTCTACCACCATTGGGGCGTCAGGTCCCAGCGACCGTGTAGAGACAAAATTAGGAGCCCCTGTTCCCAGGGTGCCCGTGGGGTGGATTGTCATTTCTACACCGTGACTTGGAGCATCAGGTGGCCAAAGTCAGTGTGCTCCTTGCCTACTGCTCCAGGCTGTGAGGCAGAGCCAGCACGCCATAGACAACAGTCTTGGTGGAGTTCTCACAAGCAAGAGAAATCCTTATTTGCACCAAAAGATCTCTGTGTCTTAGAGATTCACTTGAAACAAGCACATTTCAATAAAAATTGTTAGTACAGTACCAGCTGTAGCACTGACAGGTCTGCAACTACTTTCCTTTAGAGGCAGTTGCCCACTGCAAACCAAAACCAGCTGCCTACAGTTCCTGTACCTGTCCAGCTGGAGAGGATTCCTCCTGCTTGTGAGATTCCCTCACCATTTTTGAAGTTGTATTTACACAGACTGAAAAATTACATTCACTCCTGTAAGTACTCTTGCCTAGAAAGAATGAAATCCTGTTCGACCTGGGGCATCATTGATCCCATATTAATTGACTTTCTGGAGACTCTTCAGTGGATGCAGCAGGGAAGATCGCAGGGAAGAGAGGAATCACATCCTCTCTCTCACACACACGCTCCTGCACACTCACACAGCCTCGACCTTTCTTTAGATGTAGGTACATGTGATACAGGTTATCCTGGAGCCAGTTTGCATCAGGAAACCTTCACAGGCCCTCCTTGCTTACCTCCATTGTTTTCTTATAGTGGGACAGTTTGCTCTTTTGCACGCGCTCCATCGCAGACTCGTACTGTAAGAAACACACACAAGTCAACATTTCTTGCTTTGGACTTCTTCCCTCCCTTTCCAGTGGCAGGATTAGGAAAGCCATTGTCAGGGCCTCTCTATAAGCCACCTGTCTGTGGGGAAAATTACTTCACTCTGCTTTTATAAATGGCAGGTTTCTAAGTGATGCAGAGAGCATCAAAGTGCCAGGTAAAAAATAATCCAAGATCATTCTGCTTCAGTGGTTTCCATTAATAGCAGGGAGGATGTAGATCTTCATTTTCTTCCTCCTTTTTTTCTTAAGGAGATGAAATAGTGTAACACCCAGTCACAGTACCCGTGGGCTCTGCCAGCAGAGTTCCTTTGCTGGTGCCAGGGCTTGGTCCTGTATCTCTGCAGACCGAACCACTGCCTCACACATGAGCACAGGTTCTTGTCCATTTTAAACACAAACAATCCCTGTTTTTATATTCCATTGCTTCTGGCAAATTTATGCTCAGTACGATTTGATTTCCATGCTGTCATCTGGTCAGTGTTGGAAGGACAGTGCTGGATTCTCTTCCATGGCTTTAGTTGTGATATGCCCAGCTTTATGTGACAGTGAGATACTCTCCTACTTGGCAGGGGATGGGTTTCCTCAGTGGGACTTTTGGTCCTTTAATTTTTATATTCTCCTCAAGCAAAACTCTCTCCAGGGCTACCCAGAGGCTTGTTTCATACTGGGCACAGTCCTGAGAGCAGCTACAGTAAAACACAAATCACAGCATTTTGGGAGGTTACCAGAAATGCTGACACCATCCAGCATATCTAATGCTGGCTTCCTCGCAGCCACATGCTGGACAGAGAAAAAAGCTTCTCTAAGATTCCAAAGCAGTTTTTCTTTGTTTTCTGGGCCCCTCTAACTGTTCCCAGGCGAGTTAAAGGCTTGCTGTTCTCAACAGGAGAAACAGCCCCTCTGCACATCCTAGTGGCCAAGGGAGGGAGGATACAAACACTCATGAACCTGGTGCCTGCCCTCTTTGTATGCCCTGTGTGCCTCATCAGACTGCTGCACACCTCAAATCTCAGTAGTAGCGCTGGTTTCACCTACTTTCATATTCAGAGTTCTTTGCTATTGCAAGTTCCTGTGTGTCAGGGCCTTGTAGGCACAAGATTTTTGTGGCATCAGATACTGGTCATCTGCATTTTCATTTGTTTCAAATCAGCAAAGAACTGAATATTTCGTTTTACTCCTCCATCACTCAGTGTTGTCAGGGTTAAGTGACTCTCCCATCTTGGTCTTCAATGCCACAGAAGTGTGAGAGTGACCACTGTTGTCTCTATTGAGAACTGTTTTTCAAGGGACTTAGACCTTGATGAGATCATAGGGGATGAAATGGCCTTAAATACACTCAAATTTTTATCAGATGACATCAACTAGACGCTACTTATTCCATGTATTTGTAATTCAGCATATATTGGTGTTGCATTAAGTGTGGTATTCATTTGCTTTTATGTTTTTAAATGTTGCTGTTACCTCTTTATTTAGTGCATGTTGGAGATCATGCAGGATCAGAGCAAAGAAACCCATTAGCAAGGGTATCAAAAAGAGAAAAGGAGGGATTAAGTTCTTACAGGAATAACAATAACAGTATCTGCAGTTACACCAGAGAGAGTAAAAGGGACTAAAGCCTCTGGCTCCTGCGTTCAGAGCACTACTTTATTTCCAGCTGGGATCAGAAAGATATTTTTGTTCCACAGTCTGGTCTGTAGAGTGAACAGGGCACACTGGGAATGCTTTATCATCTTTTGCAGAATTCCAGCCTGTGGCTGGAGACAGGTCATCAGCATGGACCATTTACCCAATTTGTTTCAACATTTCTCTAGTTCCTCACCTTTTTTCTTTGCTCCTTCTGTCTTTCTCGGAATTCCTCTATTCCTTTCAGTTCATCCTTCAGCATTACTGCCAGTTGGATATGAGAGTTTCCAACACTTTCAATTTCTAAAGCAAATCAGAATTCATGTACAGTCAGTGGAAATCCTTTAAATAAAAAGTCATACTTTTTAGGAGATGTTTCTGCAATGTGGCTGCCCCGTGTGACTTGTTATGAACAGGTCTCCCTGTCTTTCTTCAGGCACTGCCACTGCTGAGGGTTCACCCAACCTGAATGATGCTTATTGCAGGTCCTCCCAGTGCCTGCACAGGGCAGGGGCAAGAGCCCTCCCCGCACAACTGGAGCAGCACTCGGAGCAGCCTGGGCTAGAGCAGAGCCAGCTGCATTTCTTCCCAGCCCCATTTATCCCATGTATCCCCTTCCTCTGGGGCTGGAGATCAGGTTTAGAGGGAGAGAGAGAGCTCTGACCTCCACCTTCACCCCGTGTCTGCTTTCCCTCTGCTGTGCTGCTGGACTGTCACTGCTCCAGGAGCTGCTTGCCCAGTGGTGCCCAGTCATCAGACGAGGCTGCACACTGAGAATTCCCAAGGGTCAGCAAAGATGGATTGAATTTCACAGCACCTGGCTGATGCTGTTTGAAATGGCTGGGAAATTCTCTGCATTTGTCAGCTTTGGTGCCTCTGAAATGGAATCCCACATTTTCCAGAAACACTGGGCTCCCCTCTCCAGGCTCTACAAACACCTCAGTTCCCCAGCTGCTTCTCAAGAGGGTGTTTGGGGCTAAACAGCAGGTGCCAGTGGCCAGGTCCAGTGTCCCACTGGCTACAGTGGTGCTGCATTTTGTGTTTTGTTGAGTCTTGGGCACGTTTAGAAAGATGCTGGTTTGGTGTCACTAGTTTGTGGAAGAGGGAATAGAGCTTATATTTTGTGACTTGATCCAGATGTAACTTACTCGAGGAACAAGCCATTTTCTTTGCCACCAGAGAGTGGATTGGGTGCCCAGCCTTGGAGAATGCACAGTGAGCATCCTTTCCCTCCACACTAGACTGGGATAGAAAAGCTGGGAATAGAGGGGGGGGGAAGAGGATGAAGGAGGGAACGAACACATTGGGTGCCCGTGTTTCCCAGGTCAGAAGGGAAGCTGTAAATACTTACGTTGCTTGAGCATCTCGAATGCTGCCTTCAGTGTGCTGTGGAGTAGAAACAAGGCACTTTGTTAGTATTGGCTTCTAGGGGTGGATTGTAAATCTAGGGGAAAAACCTTCCCTCAGAATCTCAGAGATCCATATAGAGATAAAAACCCTTAATAGTCTCTTAATAAAAGTCGACCACGCCAAAGAGCACAATCGCATCAATCTGTTACCGTCAGGAACTGCAGTAAAATGCTCCATGAAGCAAGGAATGGCACTGCTCCTTCTGTGCACCCTCCTTTTGAATCCCACTGTGTTTGTGACCGCGGATGTTAACAGCCATTCCTCTCTGGCCCCTTGGCAGTAGATAGGAGTCAGCCGGAGGACATGCAGTGGGCCGAGGGGAATTGGGGTTTGGAGCGGAGGTGTGAAGGGTAGAACCCGGTCCCCGCTCGGCGCGGGATGCAGCCCCGGCCGGTTCCTCCCCGGCTCCGGCTGCAGCATCCCCGGACAGCGCTGTCCGAGCACCCCCGTGTGGCTCCTCCGCTCGCTCTCCTGCCGAACACAGGCGGGGCCGAGCCCTCCGAGGCTCTGAAACCCCCATTGTCCCGGGCGTTTGGACACCCCGAAAGCACGGCGCGAATAAATGATGCACGGAGAGGAGCGGGAAGCTCTTCCCGATGGGCTCGCATCGCTGGGTGCTGGGCTGGCAGAAGGGCACGAGAAAGGAACCACAGGCTGCCTGGTGTTCTGTCTTTTGGCACCAGAGATACCAGCATACATGTGATGGGAGAGCAAAAGGTCTGTAAAAGGCATTTTCAACTTAATAAATTCCTCTGGCTCTGAATTTGCAGGCCCGCAGAGCATTTGCAGACACACAGGCCAGGGCTGTGGTGTGGTTTGGAGGTTTATCAGGTTTAGAAATCATCTCTTCAAGCCCCAGAGTGTCCTGTTCCCTGAAGGGAGCAGTTCTGGGCTCTCCACGAAGCTCTGCCCTGCCCCAGGCAGAGCCCAGGGGGAAAGCTGGGTAGTGAAGAGCCTGAGGTCTCCCTGGCTGGAGCCTTCACCAGGAGAGTCCAGGGGAGGATCCGTATCCCTTCCCAGCCACGTGTGACCACAGATGGGGAGGGAAATCTGCATCTCTTGGGCCATTTTGGGAGCCTTCAGAGACACAGGAAAGATCCTAATTGCCCTGTGTTAATTTAGGCTGGACATCTGTTTCCTAATCAAAGCTTGCTCTCCCAGCACTGAGACTGCCTTGCGAGGCATAAGAAAAATGCACAGGCAAGGGCAAAGGCTGGGCCTGTCCTCAGCACTAACTGCCTTGAAATCCATTTCCAGATCTAAGTAGAAATATAAGGAAAAGACTTTCAGCTAGAAAAGAAGAACTGTTTGATTTTTTTTCAGATTTCAAGTAGATTGCTTGTGGTCAATCTCCTGAGATAAGTCAGGAAGAACATGCTAGATTGAGTATTTTTAACTATTTTCCTAACAATACTTAAACATTTGAAGGTTTATTTGGAAAAAAAAATATTCTAGTGTCAAATCTGGACAGAAACTAAGTTGTTACACCAGAAAAGAAACAAAGTGTATTCTTTCCAGCTAATTAAAAGCTTGACATTTAAAGAGAAGTTGAATATCAGCAGCAGAGATAACTTTTTCTCACCTAAACACTTTAATGAATTATTTTGAAAAATTAAAAATATACAAGGAATAAAATTTGCTTTTTTGGTGTGTAATTTCCAATAGGAGGTGGGGAATGTGCAAACAACTTCACGCCTGAAATGTGTAAATACTGGAATTTAAAAAATAGAGAACACTTGCAAGCTGCACATACTGTTTGCACTCTGTGTTGATCTATTGTTCCCAGAGATCTTTTTCCTTTGCTGGAATCACTCCTGGTGATTCGAGTTATGCAAAAACTGGCAAAATTGCTATAGTGGATACTGAAAAATGGCACTTTCTCAGTATATATCAAGAAGAAAAGCAATTTGCTGCTCTTCTGGTTTCCAGGCACCTGAGCTACCAGAGCAGCTCATGATGATAAGCCATTCACGGAGCTGTTCTTTGTGCTGGCTCTCTGTGAGGCTGAGGGGGTCTCTGGTATAATAATGCTGCTGGCAAAGAGAGACCAATTTGCCCCTTGCATGGTCTCTAATGGCCTTTTCAGAAATCCCTGGCCTTTTCTTCCTTGTATGAAGGATTTGTCCAGCCAATTCCCCAGCTGCTGACTGGAGCAAGGCCACAGGCCATCAGTGGGTTGGAACAGACTTAAGCCATTTCCTTCCTTATTTTTATAATAATTTTCTAAAATCAGTGAATTGGACCCCACATCCTTATGGGGCTTAAGGGGGTAGAAAATATGTCATGGTGCCAAGTTATGCATGTGGGAGAGGACAAATAAATCAGATTTTGACCTGTGGATCCATCAGGACTCCCTTTATGACCCCTGGGCTGCAGCAGCAGCACCATAGATTAGCTGCTCATTGCAGCGGGATGCTCTGATTATATCAGTGAAATATTTCAGTGCTTCACAGGGCTTAGTGGAAGCAACTCCTGTAGCTGATGTACAAGTGGGTTTTAATTCTGTCTGTGCTGGTTTGGATGTACTTATTAACAACACCTATTACCTACTGCCTTGGGTGGGTTTGGCTCTCTAATGGGATTGATACAGGCTTTACCCTGAGGCGTCCAAAGTGAGAATGTCTCACTCTCATGGACACTCTGAAGTGTTTTACCCTCAGTACATGATGCTGCTTAACATTCTGGCAGTAATTGGATTTTTTGTTTGTTTGTTCTGTGGCTAAATTAGAAAACCTGCAGTCGAAAACAATTCAAGCAAAACTGAAAATTTGCCATTTGCCTTTTTATTTATTTATTTATTTATTTTTATTGCTCGCTTCTGAAAATTCCATGTAAATTCTGGAAGACTGTTAAACCACTCCAGCTAAACACAGAGCTCCAGCCTTCCCTTTGGGCACCCTTAGATGGAGGCTCCTGCAGATGTCTCCTTGAAAACAAGGTTGGACAACAAATTTTCTGTGCGTGTCTGTTAAACGACTTCCCGTTGTACATTTAAAAACCGGATTTGTCAAAATGAATTTCGGGTGAGAACAGGATTGCCTGAACCTGGAATAACAGGGAACAGGCAGAGCCTGTGCACCAGCCACTGCAGCAACTTCGGGTAGTTTTTGCCATCTAGTGGCTGCAATAATCTTATCGGGTTGGTTTGGGGTTTTTTTACTTTCTCCCTCTTTGTTTTGGACCTTGTTTTTGCTGAAGAGCTGGGCTCTCGCTGGAGAAGAGGCTGTGCTGGGCAGCCCTGTGTGACATGAGCACCACCGGGAAATGCCCTGTAGGGAGGGCTCTGGTTCCCTTTGCTCCTCAGCCATCCCGAGCTGAATTTCATGGTCCCAGGGATGCAGCTGGCAGAGCCCTGTCAGTGGCAGTGCTGAGGTGACAGCTGTACTCACCATGTACACTGCCACACCACACTTTTATGGTTTCGTTTAAATTTTTTCAACTTTGAGCTTGATAGTTTGGGCTTTTTTTCCCAATACTTTGCCTTTAGAGACTGGGCTAACTGAGTAATTCAGGGTCCTTTTATATCTTGTACACAGGAAGGTAACACAGGCGCTTCTAACCGTAAAACCACATCTTTCTTAATTTTCTTTGTTTTCTACCTTTGCTTGGTGAATAGAAGTGCGAAATAACCCCACCTTCCTTTCTGGTAGGTTTCTATTTTCACATCAGCGTGATCTACAATGTTCTGCTCTTATCGTAATTTTTAAAAATATCCTTTCTGAATTTGAGACAAGTCTCTCCCAGATGAACTCTCCAGAGCACTTCCCAGCAGTCCTGTTCACCCCCTGCCTCTGGGAACTCAGATCCCAGTTACACAGTTGTGAAACCACCCCAGTGACAGTCCCCTCTGGGGCCACAATTAACATCTGCCTTTCCTCCTGCCACACAGGGTAGTCCCAGTGGGGTTTTACCAAGAATTCTTTCTGTGCAGCCCAGTCGTGGTGTGGTGAAACAAGTCCGGAATCGTCCGGTCTCAGACAATTTGCACCTGGGACTGTGACTGCATTGCAAAAGAGAAGTGAAGAGGGAGGGCAGCAAACGGGATGACAGCTCCATGTGCCTTCTCCTACCCATTAATCTGTGCCCACAGACAACAAATTGTGACTCCAGAATGAACCGTGCCATTCAAATCAAAGGCTAAAACAATCAAAACAACTTTTGTACCTTTAAAATAAAACTAAATTTCCTCATGTCTCTTCAGAGAGAGAGTAGCACTGCTCAAAAATGCCTGTCCTGATCACCAGAGAGCTTATTTAGATTGACTTGCATGGGAACTGAGCAGAGGCTCAGGTCCATTTTGCAGAGTCCTGAAAGTTCAAAGTACGAGTGTATAAATTCTGTGTGGGTTCAGAACATTTGAGTGGAGAATAATCAACCATGGAAGGATGTGACCTTCCAAACTGACTTTTAGCTACAGTTCAAAAATGCCTGCTTTGTGTGGATTAATACAGAGGATTCTGTATATTAAGTGACAGATGCACTATTTTTATACACAGGAAGCAGCAATTGGCATTTGGTTACAGATGCCCTCACCTCACACTCACTGCAATGTTCTATTTCAGGGATTGCAGAGAAAGGCACAGCAGACATAGGCTTGAAGGAACTACCCTTTCTTGAGGTCTGAAGGAGATGGTAGTGGAAAAGAGGGACAGAAAATGTAGGGAATCATATACATGAGAAGAGACAAGCAGAGCAAATGACAAAAATAGATGTTGTCAGACTAGGCAGAATATAACCAGCTACTGTGTGTTTACATCAGTGATTTTACCCAAGAACAGAGTTCCCAGAGGCTCTGGTTGGGCTGCAGGCTGGGCTCTGTAGAATATTCTGTTTTCATGTTGCTCTGCTGAAGAGTTGCCCAAAGCCACTGCATGGAAATTCCCAGTCACCTTGCAGCCAGAAAGGTGTTTCCTCTTAAAGGCACAAGCTCTGAGAATCATCTTAATGGTGTGTGAGGCACCACCACAGTGTACACTACCAGCAAACACTTGGAAACTTGATCTCAGTTTGTAACTCAGCTGAAAATGCCCAGTTTCTGTACATCCTCTCCCATGTGTGCACCTCAGAATATGGAGAGTGCACAACCATACTGCAGTTTCAACTTCAAAACATGTAGTTCCCTCCCTGCCCCCTGGATATGGGTATAAGCTGTCATTTGCCAAGAAAACAGGGCTGTAGGTGTGTAATAATCCTTCTCACAATTTCTCTTATGATTAGAGACTGTGAAATGGTGATGCAGATTTAATTTTTTTAATTTAAAAAGTGGGATAACAGGAGCAAATTGCCTTAAGACTCAGTGGATGCTAAAAGGTTTCAGGGTTTCAAACAAGAAAAAGAAGAAAACTCCACTGGGGGTTGCTCTGTACAAAGCTGCTGCTGCTGTGGCAGCCCCTGCACTGCCAATTGCTGAGGTTAGGAGATGATTTAGAAGACATATTTTCATATCCTTGCCCTGTTCCTTTACTCTTCCCTCGGGATCCGGTGCTGGGGACAGAATATTAAGCTGAAGGGATTAGTGTGAGCCTGTGTGACCTGTCTTGCAGTCTTGCACTTACAATCAAGTGCGTGGGCCTTCTGTGCATTAGAATGAACTTGCCAAGGAACTGCTGAGTTAGGGCTGTGCCATGGCTCGGGAAGAGGATCTCTACCTCCCCTGGAGCCAGGAGGTTGTACCAGCTGCAGTGCTTGAGGCAAGGGCAAGCAGCCAGAACGCCTCAATCTGCCTGAATCGGGCTGGACTATTGAATGATGGTGTCCTTTGGCTGTTAGACAGCACTCAGAGGGAACTTTCATTTCTTGAGCTGGAAGCTGGAGTGTTTGTTTGCTACGTCCATGGTAACCAGCACCAGCTTCTTTTAGAAAGCCCTTCTTGGCTTTATTTAAAAATAAGAAATTGGATAAAAAGTGGCTACAGGATGTCTCCCTCACTGCAGCGTGTCTGCCTCGCTGGTGTGAGAGCTCTTAGAAACCTTCTGACACCTGTGGGCTCCCCATGGCCAGTTGTGACACTGCTGTGAAAGGCACAGTGAGGGCCTCCCTGAACTCAGCCTCACCTCCAGGGGCAGAGCTACAACCCTGTTCCCTGCTGGCTCTCGGGTCCAAGTGATCCTCACGTTTCTGATGCACAGCTGGAGACACAACGTGAGCCTCTTTTCCCGGGTCACAGTGTTGTATCCCTGCTGATACAGTGGAGTGTCCTGGGCTGCAGCTGCCCCTGCCAGGCACGAGCAGTGCTGGGCCCTGAGGGGTCAGCTCTCCATCAGAGGAGCTGCAATGATGGTGAGGGAACAGCCCTGGACAGCACACGGGAGGGGATCCTGATGACTGCTGTCACCTACAGCTTTCTCAAAGCAATGGAAAGTGGTCCCAGAGTTGTTGTTACATGCCAGTGACCCTTCCCTAATATCTTCCTTTTGAGTCAGCAGCTTATTTCTTCATCTGTGTCTTTCAGTAAATAAAACAGGGCAGTTGACTCTATTTATACATTAAGCTGAGTTCAGCAATTCGCTCCAAGGCAAAATTTTGGGGGAGAAGGGACAAGCCTGAATAAATGTTGAAATTGTTCTTTAATTTGATTCAAAACTAAAAGTTTTTAAAATATGGAGGAGGCTTGGGGGAGAACTGTTTTCTGCAGCGATAGCCGCTACCTCGTGCAGCATTCCATGGAATTCCCTGGGCTTCTCCCTGCATTTACTCATCATGCTTGTTCTCTGTGCCTTGTTGTGCCTGTCTTGACTGTGCTGAAGTGTCAACCTGGGCATTACAGTTGTTCCTGTTGAGGTCTTCTGGGTATTTTCTCGTACTGGAAGGGTTTGGGTGGTTGTTGTGCATGGATTTTTTATGTTCCCTTTATCAATTTTTCGAAAGAGTATCAGGTGCCTTCCTGATATTGAGAACTGCTGGGGTGTGAAGTAATTTCTCAGGAGAAGTGACAGAAAACCTTAGTATCCGAGATGTTTAAAAGATGGCTGAATTTAAGACCAGGGGATAATAATTTTGCATTAGAAAGAAAGTGACTGAGTGTTCTAAAATTAGTAATTCCTGCTTCTGTGCCATACATAGCATGGCACAGGAAGGTCTGTAAAACATTCTGCAAAAAAAACCTGGAAGCTGCTTTTGTTTCTGGTGGTTGCCAGTTGGAAGTTTTAGGTACAAATACATTAGACTTTATTTGAGAAATACTGCTACTTAAAGCTGCTTTTAAAGATGTGAACAGTCCTGTTCAGCCTGTCAAGTACTTGTATTACTATTAGGACTCAGTGTGCTAGATGATAATAGGAAGTCCTGTAAAGAGGAAGCACTTGGAAAAATGCACTGGGACAGTTGTAGCATACCCCTTTCAAGCTTTTCTTATTACAGGTAGTGCATAGATTCCCTCCCTCAAGTGTCCCTGAAGGACTGACCTTGGGAGCAGAACTGCTGCCAGTAATCAGTGTCATATAAACAAACACAAACTTCACATCGTGTCAACAGCATTAAACCCAAACATTTCATTTTCTTGAGTTGTTCCAGCCCTGAACAGACTTTAGGTTTCTCTGATTTTAAATCTTTGCTCTGGACAAATCCCCTTCATTGTCCATGTGTGTAATTCCTTAAACGACCAGAGGATGCTGGATGAGAGAAAGCCAAGTATCCTCTCTGCTTCAGGACAGCTAAAGTGAGACACTTGCTCTGACAAAAACATCAGTGCAAAGCTGGTCACTCCCCAGACCAGGCTGGGTTATGGAAACACAGTAAATCAGCTCTGCACCATGCTTTGTTGGTATATTCAGCCCTCCCCCTATGCCAAGCTATAAAATTGCTAGATCAAAGTGCAGCTGGGCCCAAGGCCAAACTTCCTCCAACTTGAAGCGAACTTGGATCCATATCCCAACTCCGGGACTTGGCTCTGCCTCTAAATCAAGCTTTCATAATCTCTTAGGAAAAGTCAGATCAATGAATTATCCACTAAGTCACTGAAGAGCAGCCAACCCTGGCTGTTGCTGAACACGTTTGCTCTGCCTGCCCTGCATTGCCAGTAAAGTGGAGCCTTCCTTTAATCCTGGAATGCTGATCTTTGGTTTGGGAAGAAGCCATCCATCCTTAATCTGATGTTTTAATTCTGGAATATTTCTTCTCCTCCTTCTTTCTCTTTGGTTAAGTCAGTGAATTGAGACACCAGGAAGGCAGAAGCCGTGTCCCAGGAACCTGGTTACCCCTGAGCACTGCTCAGGGGCAAGGCAGAGATGGACCCCTGGGAGGGGGAGAGCTTTGCACGTCCTCTGGAGAGAGCCTTAGTGCCCAGCTTCCCTGTCAGCCTGGATGGACCACCACCAAACCCACAGTCAGTGCCACGGGTGATTCCCTGGCACTTCCCTGCCGTGGCCATGCACAGCTTTGAGGTCAAGTTTTCCCCTAAAATATGAACAGGAAACCAGGCTTGCACTGAGAGTGATGAATGGACACGGGAAGGAGACTGCAATTACGGAATGAGATATGGGAGGGATGAGGGCAGCAGGCCCCAGGGATCAATAGAGCTGGTTTGTGTTTAGATTGAGGTCTTCTCTTTCAGGCTTGTCTTCTGTGACCTCACATCTTCATCCTCTGCCACCTTATTACTGTATTATTACTTGTTACAATAATGGCAAAATGTCTCATTATTGCTGCTGCCACCAATAATAGCAGCAGTTTATCAGCAGTGTTTATTAAGTTAAATTCCATGCCAACATACATCTTCCCCTCCCAACACAATTTATATGTGATTTAAGATCATAGTGGAGGAGACAGAGAAAAATATATGTCATCTTAGTGCATTTCAGTAGCTCCATTGATTTATTTCATATTAAGTCCCTTCAAAGAGATTTAAATTTTGTATTCCTAAGATAAGCATTTTTTCCTGCTGCAGAAACTGATTTTGGGGTTTTTGCACTTGGCATCTGTTCTGTCACAGTCTCTCAGGGTCCACCAGCTTCCCAGAATTGCCAAGCCACCATCCTAAACATTTCACAACCTTTTCCTTTCCCTTTCCCTTTTTCCCCCATCACTTAGTTTGCTTTTGGAAGCAAATATTAAACATTAAGAATCTTGAAATGAAAAAAATCTCAGGAAAGGACCTACTGGAAGTTTCCAAATAGAGATTTTGTGAATCCTTTTGTGAAGGACAATGGTGTTCCCCCACTTTTCCTGTACATTGTGAAGTGCTGTGTAACACACAGAAGTGAGCAGCTTGTGATCCCATTCATAGGCAAAACACAGGAGTCTGATATTTCTTCCAAAATCATTTTGTTTGCATGAATAATGAGAGTTCCTTACTTGATTTCTGTTTGTCCCCCTGCTTTTCGGGCGATTTGAATCAGCTCTTTCCCATATCTCTCTTCTGCTTGTGCTCTGTTAAAAGAAAAACTTGCTCAATTCCTCTTAGTGGTACCAGGATCACATTCACACAAATCTTGTATTTTTATCTGAGGTGAAAAACCACGGGGAATACAATTTATTTTATTTCTCCAATCCTAGTGCTGTCAGTTAACCTCTTAAATATTCGGGGTAAGCTATTTCCAGAAGAAATGAGGGGGAAATGAAGCCCACTGTCGTGGCTTTGATTACTGTGGAGTGCTCCATACAACTCTGCCCCCCAAATGTGGATTCAGTTGGAACAAGAGGTGCACAGAGCTGAGGTGAAGATGCTCAGAACACAGGACCTCCTTTGCAAAAGTAACCTAAAACTGATGGCTGACCTGATCCATTAAAATACTGGCTAGGAGAGGAGAAAAGAGTAGGTTCCACAGGATCCATTTAGGAGAGGTTTAGGAGAATACATGGGAGCCAGGAGTAGCAGGAATATATATAGAAACCTGAGGTGCTGCTTGAAGAGCTGCAGTGGAGGTGGAGGGGAAGGAGCCTTGCTGGTTGTTGGGTGAGGCCGGGGCAGTTCAGTGGAAGGGACAGTACGATGTGGTGCCTCACCTAAGGGGGAACTGTAACTGGTGACTCAGGACAGTGGTTCTGTTTCTATGGTTAATAAAGAAATACAAATATTTTCTCTTTTCCCCTCCCCCAACTCTGGAGGACATTTCTATTTTCTGTTCAAAAGAAGTATTTGTACTAAATATGTTACTTCCTTCCTCCTGGGTGCAAGACCAGGGTGGAACCAAGTTTTCAGTCTTTGAGTAACTGCTAAAAACTATTGAATGGTCAGTAATTAATAATGAACAGATAGCCCGGTGCTAGCATTTGGGAGAGGGATAATTTTCCCCCAGTCCAAGGAGATCAGTCAGGCTGGTGGACCAGCAGTGCTGGTCATACAGCAACCTACAGTCACCACAGCCCAGAGTGGAGGGTGTTCCTGGCCTCTGTCCTTGGCTCCCGTGTGTCTAACATTGCATGTGCTCTCAGTTAATTGCTCTTCTCCCACACTAGGAATTGCTGTGTTTTAGTGGGGTGTTCCTTCATCACTCCTTTGGGATTCCTTCTAGAGGAACAGGGTGCAAACTGCAGTGACAGGCCACACCAGTTCATTGTCATGTCAGATGAATGAAATGTCATCAAAATGGAAATATACTCCAGAGACACATAACAATGCAGAATAGATTAATTTTCTTCTGATCTTAGTAACGAGAAACACTTTTATGTCAGAGACTTTGCTTAATGCCAGTGCCTATACAGGAATGAGAATGACTCCAGTGCTGCAGTCCCAGTTTGTTTACTCAGTAAACAGTATATGATGGGAAAAAAGCATGGCCAGCTCTTAAGCCAGTCCCAGCTCCTGTAAAACCCTTGGGTCAAAAATCCCTGAAACCCCATGCACAGGACTGGACTATCCCAGAGTCAGAGGAATTTGGCAGGAGGCTGACACCCTCTCTTCACATCTTGGTGCTGCCTTTCCCACTTTTCAGCACACTTACACACAGCTTCTGGGTTTCCTTGCAGCCACCCAGAGCTGGAATGTATTTTGCGTTTTAAATCCAGGCTTTTGTTCTGGAATACAGCTGCCTTCTCACTCCCACACCACCCAGTCCCTTCTCCAGGCCAGGCAGGGGGATTTGTGGGTGGAAAGCTGATCCTGTGTTAGTGTGGCCAGGGCAGCTGGTTTCAGGACTCAGGGCAGCTGCTGCAGGAGTCCTTGTTGAAATTCCAGCATGAAGCCCATGGTATGGGCAGACTCTAGGAACAGAGATTCATCCCATCCTTTGATCTTCTCCCAGGTCATTCCCATGAATTACATGAGGACAAGCGGAAACAAATATCCAGCAGAAATAAACTGGAAATCATACCTTTCTCCTTAACTCAGTGCCCACTTCTCCTTTCCCTCCTCCCTCAACGTGCACGTACACACACATACACACACTCACTGGAATGTTTTGGGGGTGTAAAAAATCTCATGGAAACATTGAGGGTTGGACTTGATGATCTCAGAGGTCCCTTCCAATCCGGCTGATTCTATGATTTGCAAAATGACTGTACATGTATTTTTTATTTCTTTGTGGAAAGTCCGCCACAAACCAGGAAAAACCTTATCCTGCAAACTGCAGAAGCCTCTGTAATGTTTTGGAAAGAAACACAGGCATGTGCAGCATCCAATGCAGAGTTCCACTGCCTGAAGCCTGCAGTGTAGTTCTGATCCCTGAAAGTTATGAGGCACAGAGGAGCTATTTTAAACATTTGCAGCTAAGCTGCCGTCAGGCAGATGTGACTTCAGGACTGTGATGTGCACCAGTATAAAAGGTTTCCACTGGTGGTCAAGAAAAGCAATTCAAATAGCTTCAGGTTTTGAAGGGAGACTCTTCACAAGCTGTGAAACACTCACCTTTCAGTCTTAGAGCTTGTAAAGTGCCAGGGCTTGAAAAACAGCCTTCAGAAGAACCCCCTGAACCAAAAAAACTACATGGGGACAGCACAGAGAGAAAAAGCAGGCTGTGACTGAGGAAGGCAGAGCAATATTCCTAAGGAGACAGTGCTGAGATGAGCTGCTGTGTATATAATCCATACTGTGTGGCCTTTCCTACATGTCATGCCTGAGCATGTGTGTGCCTCATGCTACATGTTGAAACTGTTTTGAAGCCACCAAATTTCAGATTTATTTTCCTAAGTCAGAAGTACAGAAATGAATGGCAAAGGAGCCCGAGCAGCAGTGTAATATATTTTCTCACCCTCAAAATTGTCAGCTGTCCATAGCTGCTGCTGAGCAGCACCACAAGAAGCAGGTGAGGAGGGACACAAACTACAGCATTGTTACTCAAAGCCTGGTAAGGTTGGCAAATGATGTGGGCTGGCTTGGGTGTCTGGGGAAGGCTTTAGGCAGCATTTTATGTAGCTCTCTGTATTTGAAAAATGGCTCATTTTTGGTAGTGGCAGGAAACTGAAACAGTGCTTGTGGCAATAGCACGTTCAAAGAGAAACAGAAATGTGCAAGTCATTTTTTCCTGTAAAAGGGGAAACTTAGAAATGCCACATGTGGATGTTTGTGCTGCCGTGGGATCGGGAGCGATAATGACTGAGGTCTTAACGGAGCTCTGGGTTTCTGACTCCTTCAACCTCCTCTTCCCTTCTCAAATCTGAGATTTCTATTTGCTATGTACCTTCACAAAGCACATCACAAGGCTGGGGTTTCAATCAGGCTTTTCTATGTAAACTCATATCACTACCTAATCAGAACCAGGCTACCATTCCTTTCCAGACGCCAAAGAGGAAAGAAAAAGGAGCCTGTTCACACTTTTTTCACTCTGTTTTTCATACCTCTGCTTGAGCAAATCCTCCACATCTTTGCACATCTTCTTCCCCTCCAGCAGGCGCTGTACGAGCACCTCGTAGCCAGTGTGGAAGGTGAATTCCTTGCACTGAGGACAGAAAGGAAAAGAATTGAGCTGATTTGGGCACAACAGTTTGCAGGTTTAACAGATACCAACTCTGTCATATGGAGCAAATTTCTGGAAAATCCAAATGGACCTTTAGATTAGCCCAGGGCTAAGGGCACAGGTAGGGGTGCCGTTTCTCCAAAGTGAAAATCTGTAAAAGTTTTTATCAAATCAACTTTGTTTTTTAACACTGAAAAAGATTTGTGAAGTGGGTCACAAGCCTTGCTGTGTGGAAAGTGGCACTAGCTGTCTTTTTGGGGAAGTCATGTTTAGCCTTGGGTGTGGGACCCCTGCAGAGCAGAGATGTATTGTAGCTGTTAAGAACAACAGCTCCTCTTACCACATGTTTTCTGAAAAGAATAGTCAGAGTCAACTCAGTACAAGTATTGATCCGTGGGGTGGTGACTGTGCCACCCAGCCAGTGGAGTGTGTTCAGATGAGGATTTGTAACACAGGGAGAAAGGATTTCTCCTGTACTCCTGGTCCTCCCACTGCCTCACAAGGACTGGGACAAGCCATTTTTCCTTAGAGTGCCTCAGTTAAGCAGTCCAGAGTGATAATGTTATTGAAAATGCAGTGGTGAATGTTGCCTGAGCTTTATGTTACAGCATTATGGCAAAATCACAGGCTGTGTAACCATAAAGGGAATGAGTGTGTTCCTTCCCTCAAGCACTTTATCTACAATACAAATGCTTATATATGAACTGAATGCAGTTTATACATCCATCCACTGTCCCCTAAGTAGTTACCATTTAACAAATGAGTTACTTTATTGCTTTCCACCATGACTGTGAAGAAGGCAGCTGCTTAAGTTTTGGGACTTGGAAAAGATCCTCTGGCAAGCAACTGCTGGGCACTTGAGCTTTGCTTCCCTATTGCTGGGACTGGAGAGGACAGGGGAACACTGAGGATGGATGGTGCTGGTTGATGGCAGCCTTGGGGCTGCTCACCTGGGCCCTGGGGCTTCTGTGGAGATTTGCAGACCTGGGAGTGGGGTTTTTTTGCTTCTTCAAGAGCCAGGATAAATTTCTGCAGATAATCTCTGTAAACCTACAGGTTGTAGTAACATTTCCAGTGCTACAGTTTCTTGACAGCAGAAATTCCTTCTTCCCTAATGGACATTCTTATCAGGAGCAGAGGGGAGAAAGAAAAGACAGTTGGATAATGGTCCAGAGGAGACAGACAAATGGCTCTACCAGAGCCAGGAGAGATAATGATGTAGATAAAAGCATATGGAGACGGTGCAATGGACCCACTGTTATCATTGTTGCAACCACAGGACAATGATAGGATCACCCCTTAAGAAACAGGATCTCAAACCCAAAACATTAGTTTTCCTAATGTTTCCAAGGGCAAGTTACACACATAGATCCCAGGGAGGGATCCTGCTGTGGAATAAATGAGAAGCAGCAAGCTTTGCCATTCACAGAGGAAAGTAGGAGAGGTTCTTGATAATATCCTGGCAATGGACTCATCACTTCCCCCCCCTTCTTTTTTTTGAGAACATTCCAATGGCAGAAGGCATCACTGCTGTAAAAAAAAAAATTCTTATAAATGGCTCCCTCTGCCTGGCAGAAACTCTGCTCAGACGCTCCACAACCAGCTCACAGTCCCAGCATTTTGATTATATATTTCCAGATGCAATTAGCTACCTCCCATAGCTGAGTACACAGCTTCCTTGTCCCAGAAATGCTGCCCAGAGGTAAATGAAAACATCATATGGGTTGGTATCAGCCCAGCAGTCAGCCACTGCCACAGGCAGCAGAGGGAGAGCAATAACCACTCTGTGAAGTTCCTCTGCTCTTTCTGTTCAACATCTCTTTTTTCAGCAAATTCTAGAACTCACTTGGTGTCTCCCCCAGCTCTTTTAAACTGGCACAGTTGTTGTAGTGAAAGGATGGCAAATTTTGTACAACTTACTAAGTTCTCTAACCACAGAATGCAGCACCAGCTCGTTATCAACCCAGACCCACCCCCACAAACACAGCAGTGTGCTGGGGGTCAGCCTGCTGAGCATGACCCTCCCAGGGCCTGACAAAACCACCTAATGGACTCGACCCAGCCTTCTGGACATCCTGCTCTAAGCCATGAAACGCCAGGGGAAGAAACAATGCCATATTAAAAACAGCCAGCACCTCACTCCACAGTTTTGCCTTCTGTCCCTTGCCTGCTAACAGGAGTAAGAGCTGACCTTGTTATAAATGGAGCCACTGCAGCCGCCTCCAAAGGAGAGCTGGAATCTCCTCCGATGGAGGCACCAGTTCTTGCCTGCCAGATTCATCTGGGTGTTGCCCCTCTGGTTAGCCCTTGGAGAGAGATTTGGCTCCAGCTAAACACAGGGCTAAAAAGGACTTCCTACCACAGGCACTCATTTAATCTACCTTCATTTTGGAGGGGGATCCATCTCAAAATTTGCTTTATTGTCCTTGCTATGTGTTCCTGAAGAATGTGGAAGCCCTGTTTCAGAAACCAAAGGATTTGAAATCTAAACCAGGCCTCCCAGGCAGCAGATCTGGCTGTGGTCTGAACAGCACATGCCACTGACATGTCACAGGCTGCAGAGGGGGGGAGAGGAAATGTCGACAGCCCAGGTTCAGATAAGTGTGAGCTGCTACGGTTGCTCGTCCTGCAACATTGCTTCTGAATTTCCAACCACAATGGAGTCACAAATCATTTAGGTCTAAGTTTACTTACACAAACATTTCACAGAATCACAGAATCAACTAGGTTGGAAAAGACCTCTGAGATCATCAAGTCCAACCTTTGATCCAAAACCACCTTGTCAACTGCACCATGGCACTGAGGCCACATCCAGGCTCTTCTTAAACACCTCCAAGGACAGTGACTCCACTCTCTCCCTGGGCAGCCCATTCCAATGGCTGATCACTCTCTCTGTAAACATTTCTTCCTAATATTCAACCTAAACCTCCCCTGGCACAGCTCAAGACTGTGCCCTCTTGTCCTACTGCTGCTTCCTGGGAGAAGAGACCGATCCCCACCTGGCTACACCCTCCTGTCAGGGAGTTGTAGAGAGTGAGGAGGTCTCCCCTGAGCCTCCTCTTCTCCAGGCTGAGCCCCCCCAGCTCCCTCAGCCTCTCCACATAGGACTTGTGCTCCAGTCCCTTCCCCAGCCTCGTTGCTCTTCTCTGGACCTGTTCCAGCCCCTCAATGTCCTTCCTGAGCTGAGGGCCCAGAGCTGGACACAGCACTCCAGGGGTGGCCTCACCAGCACTGAGTCCAGGGGAAGAATCACTTCCCTGCTCCTGCTGCCACACTGTTCCTGAGACATTTCAACAGCTCTATTTCTTCTTTCACATGTTGTACAACTGCATCCCCTCTCAAACTCTTCTTGCATCCAAACAAACCTCCTTTGCCCTTTCCTGACATACTATTTTTTCCTTTCATTGATTCCCATGTGTCATTATAGCCCCTGTTCAAGGCTGAATAAATCCCTGTTGAACAAGGACGATGCTTTACCCCTCCAGTAAAGACTAACTGATGCTTTGTACCATGGCATTAATGTCTGCTCTCTGAGAAACACTTCTGGTACATCAGAGGATTGCATTTGCCTTCTTCCACTATCAAATCATAGCAGTGACACCTAACTGAGCTATGATCTATGGATATGCCTGCAATTCTCTCCTCTCCTGCTGTTTTATTTAACAAGGTCCCAGAGTGTATTGGACTTTTTTTGCTACTGATCTCTTACTCTCACTTGGTACTTTGAAACTTTGATTTTTATCTGCTTTCTGTTACCCCAGGCCTGAAGGTTATCAGATACCTCTTGTACAGTACTTCATTCTACCTGTTTGTTTCAACCACAGCTATTTCCAGCCTGTTCTTCCTGTCTTAGCCAGTATCCAATGAATATATTGAATAACAATGATCCTGAGACCAGCTCTTGAGATTCTTTCCTCCAGATCCAGCATTTCCATTTTGGCACAAGCCTCCAGCATCTCCCCCAGATCAGTGTCTTTGCACTTTATGGTTCTCCTTCTCCTGCTCTGTTCAGTCCTCTTTTGTTTTTCTTCTCTACTTTCTTGAGGATTTCCTGTGTAGCACCATAACAGACCCACACTTTCTTTGTCAAGACAATCAGACAGCAAGATTGTATCTCATTAAACAACCATCTAGTCTTGCTGAGCTGTCTTGCCTCTATTCTATTTTCCATTTACCATTTTGTGTTATAATTAGCACCCACACTGAATGGTTTTGCAAAGGCTTTTAAGCTGCACTACACAGACAGTGCTTGGTACCTCTCAGCTGGGACTTTGTGATAATTGTAACAGCTAATGAATAGTCAAAGAACTATTTTTTTTTTTTTAGAAATCAGAAAAATGCTATAATTAGATAGTAAATGTAGTCATTAAATGTGTAAAACATCATTTGCTTATACCAAAATCTAGGTGGTTGCTAGGAAGAGGGTGATTTGACTCACCACCAGTAATTTCTCTCATTGCCAAGAAAGGGATTCCATCAGTCAAAGCGTGTGTGGCCATGAAAGAGGATTTAATCTTTGTTACTTTAATTAAAGAGATTAGTTATTCCTTGTTGTCCAACAGACCTATAATCACTGGTAAGACAGTGCTTGACACAGGGATTTCAGTGTTGCAGACAGAGTCCTGTTGTCCTGAGGTTCATCCATTAGTGCTGTACATGTGTCTCTGTACCTGAGCCCGGGGTTTTCCTTCTCCTGGGGAAAATCCCAGCTAATGGAGAGGCAGCATCTCCTCTCTCCTGCCCAGATGTTGCTGCCCTCAGTGCAATGAGCAGCACTATTCCTCCAGAGACAAAAGGAACATCAAAGAGGGTATGTGACTGAAAAACACAACTTCCATGCTCTGGTTTAACCAGAATAGCTTTTCCTGGAATACCTGAAAGGAGGTATGGGAGACTGCAAGCAGAGGTGTTGACAGTAAGCACACTAGGATAGCTTCCTTCTTTCCAATTCTTTTTCCCTTAGAGGCCTAACAATGCTGCTC